AGAGAGAGAGAGAGAGAGAGAGAGAGAGAGAGAGAGAGAGAGAGAGACAGAGAGAGAGAGACAGAGAGAGAAGACATATTAAATGCTACACAGCCCACAGGAGGGGCCCAGCACTCTCAGACACATGTCATTTATGGAAGGTGATGGACAGGAAACGGGTAGAGTTGTAAGATTGGTAAGATAGGGCTGGCGGGAAATAGATCTCACAGTGATGCGTCAACTGGACTTCTGAGATGAGGAGTCCTTGCTTTTAGCTCCCTAGCTTCTCAGTAGAGGAGCCCTTTGGAGGTCTCTACCTGCCTCTAACCTAGGTCCTTCTATCCTCAGGTCCTCACACCAAAGTAGTGCGGCGCATCTTCACCAACAGCCGGGAGCGATGGCGGCAGCAGAATGTGAATGGGGCATTCGCTGAGCTCCGAAAGCTGATCCCCACCCACCCACCAGACAAGAAACTAAGCAAAAACGAGATACTCCGCCTCGCCATGAAGTACATCAATTTCCTGGCCAAGTTGCTCAATGACCAGGAGGAGGAAGGCACCCAACGTGCCAAGCCTGGCAAGGACCCCGTGGTGGGAGCTGGTGGGGGTGGGGCAGGGGGTGGCATACCCCCTGAAGACCTTCTACAGGACGTGCTTTCTCCCAACTCCAGCTGTGGCAGCTCTCTGGATGGGGCAGCCAGCCCGGACAGTTACACAGAGGAGCCAACACCCAAGCACACTCCCCGCAGCCTCCATCCTGCCCTGCTGCCGGCTGCTGATGGGGCTGGCCCCCGGTGATGCGTCTGGGGCTGCCCAGGGCCAGCAGGCAGGGGCCTAAAGGCCCCTGGGTTGCTGGGCTTCAGGGCAGGTGAGATGAGAAGCAGGTCAATGGATTTAATGAACTTCCCTTACGGTCTGAACTTTGGGAAGTCCCAACTGACCCTGGGCTGGCATTTCTGTTTCCTGCCTGGAAACAGAATAGGACAACAGAGTGAAGTAGTAGGTACTTTTTCTGAAGATGGCACGGTCTTCTCCCTTTCCCAAGCCCCAAGGTTTCCCCAATTATGAGGCTCAAGTGTCAGTGGTTTTGGTCTAGAGTTTGTGAGCCTTGTTTTGGACAAGATCTGGGGTTGTTGCCTGTTACCTGAGGCATCCGGTTGGCCTCTGCCTTGCCTTTCTCCCATCCCGAGCTGGCTGGGGTGGCTTTTGTGGCAGCTTCTGTTCAAATACAAAGGTACCCAAGAGCTGACCATTTCCTGAGCCCCATCTTCACCCAGGTCCATGTTGATCCATCCAGCTTGCCAGCTGCTGTGGAGAGTCAAGCCTCGAGGTGCCTTCTTCAGGGCCTGTTTGGAAAAGATGGCCAGTAAACAGACAGCCTGCTCTCAACTAGCTGGGGCAGAAAACCCAACAGCCCTTTTTGCTCCAGGGAATCAGAGCTCTGTTTTCTTCCCACTGAGACTTGCCTTCCTGTCCTGTGGCTGTGAAGACCACGTTGGCAGCCTTGAGCATGCTCTGTTGGGCTGTGTGCAGGCACAGAAAGGGAAAGTGACATTAGGGTGAGCAAAGCAAGAGTGTTGGAGGCACTGGGTTTCAACTCCTACACAGCACTGTTTGTGCGGGAGAGCGCATGACAGTGTGCTGGTGCGTGGCATGTTGGTGCTGGGGCTATGCAGCCCATAGGCTTTCCCAGGAGGCTTAAAGGAAGCTTCTCATTGCAAGATGTCTGTTGGCTGATGGTCTGAACTTCCAAATGGAGTACAAACTGTCCTGTAAATACTCTATTTGGGATTCTGCCTCACCAGTTGCTGGTGGCAACTCTAGACCATGACACAACCCAACATGTAGCCTGACGCTAAGGCCAGGAGTCCAGTCAGAGGCAAGGCCCTGGCTGAGACCTGAGCATGCATATTTGCTCAGCTTAACTTTAAGTACTCCTCCCCTCACACAACTGCAGGCCCTACGTGTGTGCATGGTAGGTTGGTTTAACAGGAAGTGGGTGTCCCCTCTAAAAGCTGTACATGAAATTTTTGTAAAGCAAATCCTTCTTCTCCATCTTTTAAAGACATATCCCTGCAAGTCATTTTGTAAAGTGGAGAATCCTTTTGTAGTATGGATAACTATCCTGTTGTTTCTCCCCTGTGTCAATCCAGGCGGGACCTGTTTGTCCTAAAGCTAGGCCTGCCTATAATGAAGTTCAAGCTCATGGAACAAAGTGCACAGAAGTCCTGTGTATCTGTAATTGTATTGGTGTCACTCAGCTCTCACTCTCTCCAGGCTTTGCCTTCGAGCTAGAGAGAAAATATCCAAAGGCCCCATCATGCAATGTACGAGCCCATCACTTTTCTGTTGGGGATTCAGCACAATGGCTTGTTCGCACCGTGATGGGGCCTGAGTACAGACTTAGGTGGTCAGAGATGGATTCTGCTCCCCTGCCCTTCCTAGTAAGTACTGAGGGCCCCCAGGTATAGGGACAGTACGGTCAGCTACTAAGGCACTGTGATTCTTTGTCTCCTGTCACATTCTGCTATCACACCTATTGCCATGAACATTAAGGTTGGTTTCTTCCCATTGCTTGGAGTTCAAAGAATCTGACCCATGAGAAAATGGAATGACTGTCCTGGGCTCTAAGGCTGTGTTTGCTTCTTAGTGGAATGATGACTTGGGAATGAAAAATGTGGATCTGTAGGTGGATTTTATGAGAGGGATCACACATTTGTTGGGAGCATAAGCTGCAGTTCCCTTTATCAGCTTTGCAGCTTCTCTGGGATACATACGCTAGGCAGTGGTGGGCCGCTCCGATAATAACATTGGAAGTTCACCGGGTCTGTAAAGACTGCTCTTGTGCACTGAGGGCACAGTGCAGGGGGAGAATAGCACACACAGGATTCTGTGTTCTATACCCAGCACAGACACAAAAGAAGCTTCATTTCCCTTCTTCCCTGATCGTGCCATGAGATTCCAGCCAGAGCTCAGGCCTGTGCAGTTGATGTTTGTGTTGTTTAGATTATAAAATATTTCCCACTGAGCTATCCAGATGCTCATTTCTCAAGACTATTCTTAATTTCTCCCTGATTCCAGGCAAGAGACAGGAGGGAGAGAGATTGGGAACATGGATAGTGCCTCCAGACTATGCTACAGTTTCTAAAGGGGCTGGGCAGGGGAGAGCCAGGGTTTTGGTCTTTGTAAGATCTAAGAAAGACCCAAATTCTGCTCTCACATCCCATATCTTTCTTCCTTTGCCTCTTCCTTGCCCTTGAAGAAAGCGCAGCATCCCAAGAACAATGTCTGTACAAAGGGGGAAAATGTAAGCATGAGAAAACATTAAAAAAAAACAGTGATAAATATAACTTCAGAGAGAATCCCACCCTTCAAGAATAATTCATGTTTATTTGTGGTGGCAAGTGACAAGATGGTACAACCTTTATCCTTTTCCAGAAACAAAAACAAAGGGCACAGCAACTGTAGTGAGCTGACAGCTATTTTGGCCTTTTGTGTGAGTCTAGCAGTACTTGGGATCACAGTGGTACATGACCCTCTGCCGAAGGCTTGCCTCAGCCCGTGTACATAGCACGTCATGTCTGTGGGCAAGCCCAGCACTTTCCGTCAGTGTTGTACTGTATGTGATGAATTGTGTTGGTCTCTGTGTTTTTCTGCAGAAGAGGAGTAACTACTCCGGGTACCTTGATACTTGTACAGCTTAGAGGCCAACACTGCGGGTGTGTGACTCTTTATTGAAAAAACAAAAACAAAACAAAACAAAATACCAGTGTGATGATGATAGTATGTGTATATATATAAGGTTATATGGGGAAGATTTCTAAATAAAAGTTTTACAAAGGGGCCTGGACTTTATACTTGGACTTTGCCCCCTAGAGCCTGAGAATGGGAACATTAAGGGGAAAGGCTGGCAGAGCTTGGCTCCAATGCTCTTGGGAAGTAGGATCTAGCTTCTAATCTCAGAGCAAGCCTGTAGTGTAGGGAGGAAGGAGGCTACCCTCTGGGGGAGGCCCCCTTTCCTCTCTTCTGCAAGGCTTCACAGGGCTTCAGTGTTCTGTCCTTGTGTTTGCAGCCCTAAACAGCCTGGCCCTCTCTGTGTTGGGCCAGCTTTCTCCTTATTGTTAGATCAGTTTCCTTGTTTGGAGCCATTGTTCCCAGTGAGGTCTCAGGTGGGCTGTTACCCACCATTGGTGTCTATGGATTTCCTGATGATTCAGTGGGGTTGCATCTTTTACACCTGGCCCTTTTTTTTTCTTTTTTAACGATTAAAAGAAAAATATTTTATGTATATAGGTGTTTTATATGTATAGGTGCAGTGCCCACAGAGGCCAGAAGAGGGAGTCAGAGTCCCTGGAACTGGCGTTGCAAACTGTTTTGAGTTGCCTTGTAGGTGCTGGAGTTTCATGAATGGAATTTGAGACAGAGACTGTTTGTCTTGGGGAGGCCATTACACATGGATGTTTGGTCTCTTGTGGCTTCTGTTTTCTCATTTAACAAGCATTTGTTGAGCACCCACTCTGGGCAGATACTGTTCTGCTGGTGAGGATTCAGCATTGAACGAAACAGACATGGATGCTCTCCACTGCAGCTTATGGTTCAGTAGGGCCATGTTGAATGCACAAACACACACAACTAGAGTTAAACAGTTAGAAAGCAGTTAGTACTAACCCACAGTGAGTTTCATTCAGGCCAGCCTGGTCTACATGAAACTCTCAAAAACCAAAGCCAAGAAGAGTGGTAAGGGACAAAAATGGACAGATCAACAGGGATAGTTCAAGGAAGGCCCTAGGGTGCCATCTTTTCCATTCAGGGTCAGATGATTCCTGGTGTCAGAGACAGTACTGTCCTAGGGACAGGATTGGGCCTTTCTGTCTACTTGTTACACAGGCTAAGAAGCCCTGAAAAGGCTTTTCTCTTTCTTCGTCTCTGGACCTCAGTATTCAACCCCAAATCTAGAGACATGGACTAGCTCTGATTCAACAATTGGCAATCCAATAGTCTCACTGGTGATTCCCATCCGGCCTGTCTCTAGTCTCAGCAGCGTTTTGTCCTGTTGGTGTCTATAGGGAGAGGGTAGGATTCAGTATGAGTGTCAATATCTGACCTAACTCAGATATGCCTCTCCCTGGCTCAGGGCAAGGATGGTAGGATTTGGCCTTGGAAGGGAGAAAAATGTATCTTAGGATTATAGACCTGAGGGACTACCATGATAGGAGAGAGAGAAAGAGGACAGAGAAGGAAGAATAGTGTGTGGGGTGGAGAAAGTGGCCAGCCATGTTCAGTACAACGGAGGGGCCATGCAAGGAAAGGCTGAGTTAATTGGTTTTAGCAATATTGAGACAGCTGGTGTCTGGAAAGCGCTACAGAGAGGAAGAGATAGAGGCAGCAACCTGAGGGCTTGGGGATGCCACTCCCCATCTTAGAAGGATTTTCCTCAGGAGAAACAAAGCTTTCCATGTAATGGGGACAAAGAGAGTCTGAGGATTCTGGCTGCTAAAAGGACAAACTGGCTCCTGGAGGTCATCAATGGGGACAGAGGCCCAGAGACAAAATGTCTTTCCAATCCCTGTATCTCATAGTGACAAGTAGGCAGGCTCACTCTTCCTGTTCCAAGACAATGTCCCTGAAGCTCAGAATCCCTGACTCCACGAGGAAAGAAAAGCGCCCTGAGTCCTGCTGATCTGCTCCCCTGTACCCCTTTATTTCTTACCACTCCGTTTGTGTGTGTGTGTTTGTGTGTGTGTGTGTGTTTCTGAGACAGGGTCTCATGTAGCCTAGGCTGGCCTCAAACCTACTAA